AATTAGGTCTCGACCATTTCATTGCCAATCAATGTCAACAAAGCATTAACAATCGAAAATCAGATGGCATTCAACATACAAGAGTTTTAAGCTTCAAAATTTCAGAAAGACATCTATTTGATTTACCCACGTCATACCTATATTTAATCGCACCCAATACTTACTCAGTTGAATGACAGATTGATACAAATTTCGAAAAAGTTTGGTTCAAAAATCCAATTAAATTTAAAAAATGGTCGATTTCGGAGTTGACTCACTCTTTTCCTAAATATTTAAAATATAGCATATTTCGGACATTTTTACCCGAATTACGATTTTTCGGAATTGTTATTTGATCTTAAATTGAGATCCACTACTCAGACATATCAATGCGCAATTGTGCATATGGAATTCCAATTTGTTAATATAGCTATTAGTTATCTGGTATTTTTTATGTTGGTATTCCTGAAAAAATATATATATCGTGAGAGCTGCAAAATTTAATCGTTGAGACGGGCAAATGGAAAACTGATTGCAAATGAATTTGATGGTGTTTCGTTTTGAATCGATTTTTCATGCAATTAAATAATACGCGCAACATATAAATGCGAAAGTTTTCGCGTCCAAATTGTGTTAATGTTTAATTCTTTGTATTCGTTTACTAAATGCAAGCAGAAACACAAATTAGCTCGCACATCACACACACACACACGCACACACACACATAAACACACACCAATAAACGCACACATAAGAGTCATAAAAATGCAACATTGTAAAGGCAACAATTGCGCGCAAAAAAAGGTTTGCGAGTTCAAATTTATCAAGAAATATTAAATACTCTTTTTCTATGAACATGTCCATGTAGTCGATGCAATTTAAAAACTTTTCTCTACTTGTACTTGAGGTATCTTAATAAAGAAACTACGCACAATTCATCACTGGTAAAAACTTCATATTGCCTATCAATGCATTTTCTATAATTTTTAAAATTTATTTTTTTCTTTAAAGGTCTTAAATAAACTTTGTCAAGCTTAGTTCATAAATAATTTATATTCAAAAATAATATGGATATGAAGTTTTTATTTATATTAAAATAAAATAATATATGTGTTATTAATTATTATTTGACAACTGTTTTACGTCCAAGATAAATGAAAAATATTAAATACTAAAAATTAATCATGTTTTATTTTATCTTAAATGCTTAATATTAAATTTATATTTTTGGAAATATATTTCTATAAGTTAAGAATTTTATTATTTATTTTTTTAACGAAATATATTCGTACAAGTTGAAACAAAATATTTTTTAAGGTATTTTAAAATTTAAAAACAAATTATAACTCTTTTAAAATTTTTTTCAAATGTTAAAAAAGTATTCATTATTTTTTCAACATATTCTTAAATGTTAAAAATAAGTTATTATGTTTTTAATATATTCTTTAATGTTGAAGAAATAAATTTTTAGAAGAAAACGTTGTTAAATAAATGTCTTATAGAAATTCCTCTTTCAAGTTTGAGTTAAAATTGATAAAATATATACTCTGTGCTCTTCTGTTACCAATGAATACACCTTTTCTTTTTGTCCTTTTATAAGGGTATGCAAAAAGTTGTGAACGGGAAATTAAGCGCATTTAGCATGGACTACAATCCACGCTGAGGACGTTGGGAGCGTGGAGGGTTGTCAGCCAGGCGCTGCAGCTTTATGTAAATTTCTCTGTGTCTGTCTGTCTCTCTAGGTATGTGTGTGCGTGTGAATGCGTTTGTATCCGTGTGAGTTGCAATTTAAGCGCTGCGGCATTTGCTGTTTGTCGGCATATCAACTGCATGGCGGCAACAGCTACCTGTATTTAAGGCCTGCTTCACACACTGTTTCTCTCTTCATTCTCTCCCTCTCTTACGACCGCGCTCACCTTTGGTGCCCATCTTTTCGTGGGCGTGTGTGGGTGGGGGAATTAATTATGCAGGCGTATCATGGCAAACATCAGCCATTGCCATGCCTTGCCGTGCCACGCCCACTGCGTATGCGGTTTTAATTTGCGAGTCCACGCGCTCGCTCGTTCGCTCCCTCGACTGCCTGCCATGCATTGCACTGATCCTTCTGCACATGCCACGCCCCCACTTCCGTATTAACGCCCACTGCGTGCTGCTGCTTCTGTTTGCATAGTCAGAGAGTTTTCGTTCTGTTTGCATTTCCGTGTGATTTCACATGCCCAAAACGAATCGAATGGATTCACGGCACTTGTGTCCTCCACAGCCACTTTAATTGATTTCCTCATTGTCTATAGACGCCAAAAGCAGCCGTCTCGCTCTCCAGCCCCTTCTATAAAACATTCCTTCATCCATTAAGCTGTTTTCGGCCTGGTTGCATTTCCGTCTCAAGAAGACTTCGAATAGTACTTGCGCCCTCCATGTTCAGCTTTATTTGTGTTTCTCTCATTGTCAATTTTTTCTTACTTTCTCTTTCTTAGTCCTGTTCTTCTATATTTTAAATAGGTTTTAAATTTTTCCTGTTTTTTTAAATAATATTGAAAGCTCTTGAGTCCTCCTTTGTCACTTTAATTGATTATATGAAAGATTCAATTGTAGTTACTATAGATCTTCTTTCTCTTTCTCTTTATTATCTGCCTATTAGCATTCGTTTACGCAGCCTCCACAGGCATTTTAATAGATTTTCTTACATTCTCTCTCTCTCTCTCTCTCTGTGCCTGTCTCTTCAATCTCTCTCTCTTTCCCTACCTTTGTCTACTTCATCTCTCATTTACTTTTCTGCTCGTCTTAGCCGCCAGGAGGCGCCCGCATCATTAACCCTTTTGGGTGCTGCCTGTTTATAAATTCTATAAATTTTAGATCATAATGCTTAAACCTGCCATCGCATGTGGCTGCCTGTGTGTCGTGTGTGTGTGTATCACCGAGTGGGAAACTACGTGTGTTGCGTGTTTTGTTTTCCACATTGCGGTTAGTGTGTGTGAGCGTGTGGATTGTGCTAGCAGCTAAGCCATTTGTTATGCATTTTCATTAGAAGTTTGCCAGCTGCTCAGCCATTATCATTAGCATGGCTAAAAGTGCAAACAAGAGCATGAGAGATTATCGCATACATAATGCTAATTGTTATGCCCCAATTTAACGACAGGTGGCGTATTGAGCTTTATAAGAAAATGTAATTGGGTCGGGGCTTGAGCCAGGAGTCGATTTAGAAAGAGCTGAGGGCAACACTGAGGAACGGAATCTTTTCAGGCAGCAAGTTCGTTGAGCTGAAATAGTTTTAAACATTATTGGTTGACAGACATTAAATAAAATATGTGTACTTTTATTGCATCGGTATAATTGAAATTTAATTTTCAATTACTTTGATAAAGAACAGAAACGTAAATGTTTCGGATATAGTAAAAATGATAAACAAATTTTGAATGAATGACAAGACATAGACTATTGAAAATATATGAAATTGAAAAAGGATTAAAAAATTAATATTTAATATTTAAATTCAACCAAAATGCGAGTAAGCCACCAGAAACGAGAGCGAGGTCAAGTCTATAGCGAAAATCATTGCATACCCTCAGGGGCAGTTGGCTTAGCAGTTCGCTGTTAAATAACAGTTGCGCGCTTATGTAAAAGAATTGATGCTAAGTTCATCGTCTGTTAGCAAAGAGAGAGAATCTGTATAATTCTGGATACGCTTTTTTTTTATAATTTTTCTTCGATGTAAAATTGAATATATTAATGTAAATAAAGTTTTTAAAACCATAAAATTAATAAAACCACAGTAGTTTCAATATACACACATATATTTTTTTTTTTTTTGTTTTATTTTTGTATCATATTTATTTGGATTTTCGCATAATAATAATAATTTCATCAATTATTTATAAGTATGGTTTGCTTGATGATGCTTAAATGTGTTTTTTTTCTTTACATTAAAATTTATGCTAAAGTTAGAAATAAAGTGTGTTGAAATGTTTGGTTTGTATTTTGCATATATATAATATGTATATAATTCTAGTATAACTTTTAAAAACAAGACATAAATGCTTAAATATTTATGTGTGTATGTGTGTGTATGGAATTTAATAAATATGAATAAATTGCGCATGAATAATGGCTCATTGTTGCTGAATACTTTGAAATTAATTGATTTTTGAATAGGCTCATAAAACGAAATGAATAAATTGTTTATTCATGCATTATTTATTTATTTTTTCAATGCATTTGGGATTCATTTTGATTGCAAAATAAATGACTTCAAGTGTGCGATTTGTTGGCTTAATCGAACATAAAAGATTTACAATTAAATACTAATATTAATATTAATTTCATGTTTTTCGTTTTTGCCTTTCCAATTTATTGCCAAACTTGTAGAATAAATTTATATAAATTTATTTTTTTTAAGCTGAAATTTAAAATTATTTTTTGTCTTTGTTGCAGTTGTTGTATTTGTTGTTGGTGGGTTTATTGAATGGCTTTTGAATTAATAAACAATTCTGTATAGATAATATGTGTGTAGAGAAAGGGAGAGAGAGCGAGACGAAGAGTTAATGATAGCTACAGTCGGATATATATGTATTCCATTGGATAATTTGTAGAGATACGCTCTATATATGGTATTTATGTGTGTGTAATATGCTCATTAAATGCCTTCGATTGAGACAATTCATGTACAAGAACAACTTTGACTAGAAATTAAAATATGAGTTAGTATTTAATTAATACCAAATGCTTAACATTTCGTGTTCACTCTGTGTGTAAGTATATTGTGAGCAGCATTGAGTTGATCTCTTCGTCTTCCTCTTGTGTTTAACTTGAGTGGATAGTCCTCACTAAGCATATATATATATATTTGTATATATATACTATATATTCGTATGTTGTGTGATTAAAATTGCTAATAATATTACGTTTATTGTTTTTCGTATTTTTTCTTATTTTTGTTTGTTTTTAGTTTTTATAATTAAATAACATAACATTAGTAAATTTAAACTAAGATCCAGTCAATTTATATTTTGGAATATTTTCTCTTTTTTTCGTTCACACACAATTAATAGAATTATTGAGTTCTTCTCTAATATATAATAGATTATAATAATCTGCATCAACTATACATCGACTACACATCGATATCGCTCTAGATACCCCCGCAAGAGTCTCTATAAATCTTTTCTAATAGAAGGAAATTGGATTTTTATCGGATTCAATCAGATCGTCTGCCTGCAAGGGTATTTGAACCTCGGCATGCCAAAGTTTTTTCTATATTTTTTCGACTAAATTGCAATGCTAATTTAAAAGTCAATTTAATTTTTTTTTTCATTTCGTTTTTATCTTTACAGCTATTGAAGATGATCTGAATTAGGGCGCAAAAAAGGTGCTGTATAAGAGCTAATTTCGATCAGCGGATATATGTTCGTGTTCTGTATAGGATATGCAACTAAATTCTCTTTCGTTTTTCTTTCGACAGGCTTCGGCATTCGTTTTCGAACTCGAAGCTCGCTTTGAATCGATTTCGAAAAGGTCAATTCATTCGCTGCGTCGTTCAACTCCATTTCGTATAACAGTTTTTATACTAATACTTGTGTTCCGGTTCCGGTTCCAGTTCCGTGCTACGCATTTACGACATGTCCACCGCATTATAGTTGTTCATCGGATGCGAGGTTTGCTCATGATAATTGGGACAACGTCCTATCTTCTCCATATAGGGCCCATACTGGCAGGTGGGCGGCTTGCAGCGACCCTCCTTGATGCACCTGTAGACAGGAGGAAAGACAGTTAATATCAATTAAAATAGCATGAAGAGATTGGAGCTTCTTCAGTCTCTACTCACTTGCGATCCTCCAAGGAGAAGTGCTCGCTGCCGCGCTTGCGATAGTCGCAATCGTAGTTGCTCGAGGAGCAATCGCATCGGCATTGCCCATCGTTCTGCAGGATGCGCTCAAAGTGTCCTGGACAGTTGCAGTTGAGCATGGTGGCACGCTGCACCACGGCACCACTGCTTGAGATGATGCCCTCTGCATAGTAGTTGCTCCGGTCAATGCAATGGCATTCGGTGTGGTTGACAAAGGTCAACATTTCCGGCTTGGATCGTTTGTCTTTGAGGGCCTTGACCTGTCAACGAGACAATTAATGGGGTTAATACCGCTTATCTGGCTCCCATTGTTTAATTGAGTTTTAATTGAGACTGTGCACTATATTAAACACATCTACGTAAGTATGTAGCGAGTTTATATATATATGTTGATAGTCCTCTCTATTGAAAGGCTAACCCGGTTAATTTGCATATGCAGATTGTTATTCAAAAGTTCCACTAAGCATGTGTGCGTGTGTCTCTGTATCTGTGTGTGTGTGTGTTTGTATCTGAGCGTTCCTTAAGCTGACTGTTCATCAAACTTGTCGTCATTGTTATTCTTGTTTCTATAGCTCTTGTAATTCTAAATGAGTTGTCAGCTGTCAGTTGCCATTTGAAGAGGCAGACAGAGGCGTAGGTGGCATAAAATGGGGGCTTACAGTGTTATATGAAAGTAAAAGTATGCGCAAGGCAAGTGTCAAGTGACAAGTGTTATATTTAGTACTTTATATTTTACTGTAATTTATTATAAAATTTATATGCAATTAAAAAATGTTTATAAAAAATAAGTTTTTAGCATTTGGTTTGACTGAAGCTATTTCATATTTTTATTTGGATGAATCTAATATTAAAGAATTAATTTCGCAATTTATTTAAATTTTGTATTTTTATTATTTTGTATTTTTATTTTTTATTTTTCATAAATTTGTTATAGTATTTTTTTAAGTAATAAAAAAAGTTTCTGCCAGCAAATTAATAAGTTGTTTTTCATTTTTTTAGTAGAAAATAAGTTTAATTATTTTTTATTTTATTTTATTTTTATTCAATTAATATATATGATTTTTAAAATTTATAATATTTTTAAAATGCCTCATATCTTATCTCACTCTTAACCCCCTTTGGTCTAAGGCCATGGCGTTGAACCATTAGGAGACAAACTTGAACAGCTTCTGTTACGCTGCCTTGCGAAACGCTAAGCTCCGAGTTGGGCGCCTCGTTTGGGGCTGCATGACAAGTGCAAAATGATGAAATGCCATATGAATTGCATAAATTAAGCTGGATTCGTTTAATTAAAATTACAGCTCCGGTTATTAATCAAGCTAAGTAAATAGCTGGCAGTCAGCAGTCAGCAAATGTTCACAAAATGTTGCCAGCCACAGAAAATGTCCAAAGATGCAAAACCGAAAGCGGTCGAGCATTGAATTTTGATTGGACGCATCAAAGCAGAAAACTGACAGCTGATCAAAAATAATACAAAAAGAAAAATGGAAACTGAAACTGGAATTCTGAACGAGCTTCGAAACCTTTTTATGCCATGTTACGCATGCACACACACACATTCACACACCTTCACACAATTTGCTATTTTCTATATATGCTAAAATTGAAAAACATGAAAATTAAATTTTTCACATTTTTAATGCCCTGCAGCATTGGAGTATGGCGATTCGAGGGCATATTAATGTCACAGGCAGCAGCAAAAATTTATATTTGAAATTCAATGAGAAAAGTCGGAAAATGGTGGCACTAAAACGATATGTAGAAGAGAATTTAGGCAGATTGTATATATATATTTTGTGAGTTTTGATATATTTCACACTAACTTTAACTTCCTCTGAATATGAATAGTGTCGATATAGCTGCTGGCTGCACATAAAAAATTAGTTTTCAGGTAGTTATTTATATATATATTTATATATAAATATATACTATAAAAATAGCTACATCTCTATGGAGATATATCAAACATCGTCCGCAGAACAAGTTTCTTCTGCTGTCGTCTATTCAACTCAAATAATAATCAAAATTTTAAACTTAACTTGAGGACTAAGAGAGCTTCACATATTAAATTTTCTATATAACTTCTCATAAGGTACACATGTATTATAAATATTTTACTTTGTTTAAAACTCAGCTTCTCTCTCTCTCTCTCTCCCTTCTCCATTCCAGGCAGATCCTTCAGTCGTGCACTCTTTCCACTGGACCACACTTTCTTTTTAAACTAAAGTTTTGGTGGAATGTTTATGCAAATTTTTGAATGCAACGAATTGAAAAAGTTTTGCATGCTCGACATGTCGCTCACAGACACGCCCAGCACACCGCCCCGCTTTTAGCAGTTAACATGTGTGTGTGAGTGTGTGTGTGCGTGTGTTTGCGAAATATAAAATTGAAGAAAATTGCAGCAGGCACAAGAGTCGAAAATGCTGCTGAGCACAAGCTTCAAGAGCTGTAGCACAATAATTGCCGGAAACGGAAGTGCAAAGTGCTGCTGTTACTTGCTGTTGCTGTTGCATTGTTGTTGCTGTTGTTGTTTTTGCTTTTGTTGGCTGTTGTTGATATTTGAACTGCAACCGCATCTAAAATTGCTGCAAAGTGGTTGAGCCGCCTGCCCATAGCATGATATATGCCATAAATACGAGTTTTTGACTCACTCGACTACACTTTGTTTTACTTTTTAGCAAGATGGCGTCACTACGCCCCACCACGCCCCTAATTGGGCTAAGCCTTATAGCATATATAGTGTAAGTATATATATATGCAAATGCAGTCGGCACTCTCGTGTGTGCCCACTTTGGACTCAAGCAATTAGTCAGTTATTGCTTTGTAGTAGGCACCCGGAGCACTCGAGCGCTCTGAGCAGCCAAGGACCAAGGACGAAGGACCGAGCACTAAGGACGAAGGACTCATATGAAATGTAGTTTAATTTTTTGTAAAGTATTGTATGCAAGCGTTTATGCTATTGACACTAATTGACAGTGTTGGCAAGTGCCCGACTGAGAGTGAGCAAGAGAGAAAATGAAATAGAAGGAAAACTGTGAAGTGGAACTTCACGACGTTGCTCGGAATAGTATTTGATAAATGAATCTATCTGATGTATGATTTAATCATTGATGCAATGTTTTTTTCTAGACATCATTGTATATTCCATTTCATTAAAAACTACTTTTCTTCATTAATTTCGATTGAGCACATGGAAACTCCCAAGCTTTTCCCTTTCCGTACACTCAATTTGGCTGACTTTGCCTCGCATGTGAGAAGCCTTTGCTTTCATAGAGTTGTGCATCTAATTATGACTGCTTTTTCCTTTTTGCTACACTTTTGCTGGAGCCACAGTCAAACAGGAAAAACTTCTCTTTCATTAAAACCTCTTACTAGTTGGGTTTTAAAATACATTTTCTCTGCGCTTGCTGACGGGGAGATTCCGCCTTGAAGATTTACACACACGAGTGCAAGGAGGCAAAGGGAAGAAGGAGCTCGTTAAGAGTAGAAGACACGCCCTCACGTAGACTAGGCGAGGCAACGCTTAATTATACAATAAAAGTTAAGCTCAGACAAAGGAATTATGAGAGGGCGATAGAGAGAGACAGTTAGAAAGAGAGAGAGAGAGAGAGAGAGAGAGAGAGTCGGGCAAGTATTTTAACATTTGACGTAGACAAAGTTATGTCAAAAAGTCGGTCTTGAAAACGCCCTTTAACGCACTTTAATATACGGTTATAAAAATGACAAATATATAAAAAAAATATAAAATATTTAAAATATATCTATATATATATAAAAAGTAAAAAAATAAAAAAAAATAAATATACAAAAAATATATTTAAAAAATTTTAAAAAATATTTTTAATGTAATAAATAATAATTATAAAAAGTTTAAAAAGTATACAAAAACAAAATATATAAAAAACTGATAACTAATATAAAATATAAATTTAAATAAAAAACTATAATTTTCTTTAAAATAAAATAAATAATTTCTATAAAGACTATATTTCTATAGTCTTTATATTTTAGTTATTAATGAAATATGATACTTCATTACGAAAAGAAGTACAAGAAACATAAGGAATGAGGATATAAAATATTAATATTGATATGTATTAGGATATATAAATATAAATATGTATATTCTATAGTAAAAAACTTGGGAAACTCAAAAGTATATATATAATAAATTATAAATGACATTTCCTATTATACTGCGGCTCATTCAATGCCAAGTGGCATGTGAAACAAAACTGATTCAGTTTAAGCACAAATTCATTCTCGATGGTCACTTTTTGCTGTGTTGGGCCAGCTAAACTAAAGTTGCATGTCTGCGAAAATGTTATCTGCCAGCTTAAGCATACAAAATATTTCAAGGAAAAAAGCACAAAAATTTATGGACAGGAGCTGGGCGTAGGAAAATGGAGTGGAGAGCGGGGCGGGGCATCGGGAGATGGAAGCAGGAAGCTGAAGTTTGCGCACACGATGTCATTGAGAGGTGTCAAGTGCCAGGCAAACAGCTTGAGACCAGAAAGGGAAGGACAACACTGAGAGAGAGCGAGAGTGAGAGAGAGAGAGAGAGAGAGAGAGGGAGAGGCAGAACGGCATCAAAAAAACATTCTTACAAAACATAATTTATGTTGCGCAAATTTTGTTGAAGTCACAAGGTAGACCAAGAGGGCAAGCGAGGAGTGGCATTTGAGGGGGGCAGCCGTGTGTTTGTGCATTGTTGGGCAGCCAAAGTGCAATGCCCCCTGCGATCCACTCCAGACAGAGCCGAGCCGAGCAAGCGAGCGGGCGAGATTTATGAAGCCTTTTTTATTGTTGTTGTTGTATTTTGCCTCTGGTTCTGGGTTCAATGCACCCGCAATGCGAAAAGAGATGTCGTTACTTTCACCCGCAGCTAGAAGAGCGACGTGAAAGCCAACGCCTCCACATGGCGTGCAGGTCCACAGCCATAGCCATAGCCACAGCCACATCTGTATCCATATCCATATCCATGTCGATGTCCATGTCGATGTCGCCCACCTGGCTAACATTGGCATTGGCGTAAGTAAAAGTCAATTGGCTGACAGGCAAAACGTTGCCCGAGTTTAATTAATTTGCAACAAAATGTGGAGCGATTCGCTGCAGCGCTGCAGGCCGCCGCATGCATAATCTCAGCTGTGGGCGGAGCTCGTCGCCAGACGCCAGACGCAGAGCAAACATTAATTTTGCTTATTAAACAATGAGCGACAACAGGCGGGGCACGGCGTATGCGTGTGGCACTTGCAACAGCGTCGTGCCACATGCTCAACGTAATGCAATTTCGACAGCTGAAATCCCAACAGTTGGCAGCAGCTGCAACATAAATGCAAAGCACGTAAACAGGTAGCAAAGGGGGAGTGACAGGCACCTGCCAAATGCCCAGTTGGCAAAACTTTTGTGAGCCGAACTTTATGCCCAAATATAAGCGACGACAGATGCAGATTTTATAAAATTATTCAACACTTAGTTGAGCACATTGATAACTGTCTGTGGAGTAGAAGAAAGAGAGAGAGAGAGAGAGGGAGAGAGAGAGAGAGAGGGAGGGAGAGAGAGTGCACCTCAGCTCAACTAATTTTTGGTATATGGAGTCCTTAAGGGCAACAGCTGGGAGCTTAACCCGGATTACATGCACTCTGCCATAAAGTTTTCACAAACTAAATTACTCAGTTTTATAAGTTGCATATATACAAATAAATATACATATAACATATATGTGGATTTTGGTAGACAAATATAATTCGCTTGAGCAGTGGGCGAATGTGTTAAGTTTTGTATTGAATTTAGTTGCTATGTAAACTTCCTCGTTTTATACATAGAGGAAGAGTGTGCCAATCTAATAATAAAACATAGCATAAAAGCTTATATATATATATATATATATATATATATATATATATATATATATATATATATATATATTAATATAAATTTATATTTTACTTAAATTTGGCACGCAACAAGGTTTACTATACAGAGTGTAAACAGGTTGTCTGTATAGCTCAAGTAACTTTACTTTTTATCATCAGCAGACTTCGCTATTTACTGCTGTCTCAGCTTCGCCTTGCCACTCCTGCTACGCTGTAACCATTTGAGAATTCCATGTTTGCAGCTTTTGCATAGAACAAAGGCGAGTGAGTCTTTCATTTTTTCTGTGTGCTTATCCAAGTGCATGGAGAGAGAGAGAGAGATAGAGAGAGAGAGTGAGCGTCGCTCTCTAACAACCAAACAGCGGCTAAGTGAGTTTCTTACAGATTTTTTTTGTGTATGAAGCAGACTTCTGTGGTCTTATGAAAACATTTTAGTATAAATATTTATATATATATATTTCAACTCAATAATAATCAACAACTACATGACCTCAAGCCTGCAAAACTTGCAATCTTCAGATAAGAAAAGATTGCTAAAAACCGTTTAAAGTATATAATTTAAATGTTTATAATTTCTTGCAGTGTAGTTAAAATATGTAATTTAAATGATTATGATTTCTTGCAGTGCAGTTATGTGTAATTCTGCAGTATGTTGATAAGTACTGAATTTCAGCTCAAAAGCTAATGCAATAAATAATGTAAAGATATTTTATAATCTAAGAAAACTATTTCCTAAGAAGTCTACTGTAAGCTTGAGCTATGGAAAACTAAAATGAAAGCTTAACATAAACTAAATGAGCAGAAGATAAAGGTTTTATTCTTAAATTAAAAAAAATGTTAAATAAAACTGTATATCATTCTATGATTTATTTCACATTTCAATTTAGATTCAATTTAAAATTTTAAATCACATTTAATTTTTGTTGAAAATGCATTTCCAAATAATATAGGACCTCTGCTGTCAACTTTTTAATTTCCAGCTAAAGGCTCACCAAAATGCTGGCCAACAATGAGCAGCAGCTATTAATTAAGGTGTGGGCGTAAATAGTTGCATAAATGGGACCTGCTGCTCATGAAAGAGTTTTCATTAAATTCATTTTCCATTCGCTATTTCGCTTAAAATGCGCGCCCTTTTATTATCATTATCATTATCATTGTTCAGTTTGTAATTTCCTATCGTTGCGCACGGCTACAACAGCAGCAACTGCAACAACAAAGGGCTTAGTAGAAAGAAACGAGGGTGCTCTAAAGAGCTTAGGAACAAATAAGTGAAATTTAACTTAAAACTAATTTTAATTTAGTTACAGTTTTATTTATTTTTTTTTAACATTTTATATATATATATATATATATATATATATATATATATATATATATATTTCTTTTTTTTATTTTTATATATATATATTGCCAACTATATTATTTTATTTCTACACTACAATTTTTTCAAACTACCCTCGTTATGTGCCCAAAAGTTTTAACCATTTGTCAAGAGTCGCTGCCTGCACATTGTGTTTGCTCTAGCTGCATCTCTCTCTCTCTCCCTCTAACTCTACCTCTCCCTCACACTCATTGTTGTTGTAATTGCTCTGATTGTTGTCGCAGTCGCGTTTGTTGTCGTTGCGCTTTGTGGGGCGGGGTCGTAGGTCATGCCTCAGGGCGCCATATTGCAACATAATTATATCGTTTCACCTTTTTCTTTCATATATTTATTTTACTTTAATTTTGTTTGTGTATTGTGCGCTTTATGTGTGTGGGTGTGTGCGCCTCGAAATGAGATTTTAATGACGCAATGATAATTCAATTTGTTGCTGATTTATGCCACATAAAGTTTTTTCGCTCTGTAACGAGCATTCAATATGTTGAAATCGAGAATAAAATTATCCATTGTTTTCTGAATGTCTGATTCTTTTTTTATTCAAGGCGAATCATTATGCCAGCTCAGAGCATTGCTCTCTGCACTATGATTAACAATTTTTTAATTACCAATTTAACAATTATGACAGAGTCAAGCGAGCGGATATGCAACGTGTAGGCAGTTAAGGCAAAGTGATGTGTGTATTTCAATTGCATTTTGACATTTGGTAAATTTAGTTTCTCGTTTAAATGTTTGATTACTTTTTGAGGCATGGCATGTTGACTTTTAATGTTGAATTTTAAAGTTTAATTAAATATGACAGTTAACATATAAGTTTTCTGCTTTGAGCAACATGAAAAGTTTCGTCAATTTCCATTTGATTTTATTTTTTTCCCAGAAACCTTCACGAAATCAAACTTCAGTCGAGTTGCACAAATTTAACAGCAAATATTGTACATCTGATCAATTTCATTTGCTTATATTTAGACTAAGAAGTTAATGACTTGAGTACATGAAAATCCAGCTACGACTGTTAACCTTACTCCGTGGCTGACTGAAAGACAAGCTAAATAATAAGGAACTAGCAAATACCCTGAATACTCTGAACAGAGCTACTATTTCAATCAGCCTAAGCTTTTTTGTATAGCATACACATTTATATGTCGTACATGTACATGGGTCTATAACTGAAGTATTAGCTTTACTAAGTCTAATTAATTATTGAATAGCGCTTGCTCTTAATGGGGCTTCTCTACAGTTTGAAATTCATTTTGCTTCATTTTGCTTAATTTTGTGGAAAGTTGCGGAAAGGTATCAAAAAATTTGAAATATTTATGATTTGTGCAGCAGAAAGCTCTACACAGTAAAGAGAAAGTCTACAGCTTTCAGGTATTCAAGTTCAGCTTAAAAAACTAATTTAAAAAATCGATTTTTATCGATAATGAGGAAACTATTGGAATTTATTTTCTAATAGACTTTTTGTATAGACTTCAGCGTCATCTCTGACCTCCTTACTAAATTCTTCTATATATTTGCTTTAACTTAGGGAGACTTTATCAAATAGCCCCTGGAGCACTGCTAATTTTGCTGTTGATTGTCAGTCACCTTAACTTAACATAACTAAGAAAATAAACATTGACATCTGAACCTTTTTACTTAAACTATTCGTTGAAAAAGTATGTCTGTTAGCAAGCTAGCAAATTTGGCAAGCTGTAAGCTGAATTGAAATTCAAATTCAATTTGCAATACTTACAAAGAAATACTTTTCGACTTTGTGGGTGCGCTTGGGGGCACAGATCTCGGTGCGACTGTGGCAGCAGCCGCTGTCCTCGGAGCAACGATGAACGAAGGTGCAGTGGGGCATGTAGATCTTCGACGGGTCTCTTCCGGCGCTCATGCAGCGCTTCTGTGGCAAGTGGCAAGAGTTCTCCTTCAATACCTCTTCGATGTGTGCATTTGCCTTGGCTGCAAGGGCTACAAAGTTAATTTAGTCTAAAAATCAGCTAGCTGCCTTCGTGGCCTAGTTAATGCTTACCCTTGGCCTCTTCCCTTTCGCGCCGAGCATTGAGCACGGCTTCCGGTGTGCCCAGCAATTTCTCCTTGTGCGCAGTTTGGCTACCAATGCGATTACGTGCATAATTATTATTGTTGTCCGCATTCTGTGAACGAAAACGAAATGAAAATTTCATTAATACCAGCTTTGTTGCAGGCCAAAAGCTGGCCCAAAAGCTAATTAATTGAATTGAAGCAGAGCTGCGCAGCTGTAAAGCTGGAAATGCCCGCATTACGCATACGCCATGTATGCTGGCACCCATAAAAGTCATCACTAAATAAAATTGCCATTTGTGCCGTGTGATGGCAATTTGTCACAATATTTATTGTCGTCCACAACAGGCAAGGAGGCAGGCAGCCAGTCAGCCGGAGCTGCTGCAGAGATTCAGGTAACGTGCCACACAAACATCAACTGCCTGCGAGGGGGGCAAATGGGGTGCAGGGGCTGCTCAATTGCTGCAGAACTTCATAAACTAAGAATTCATGTGTTTTCACAGTCGGCACAACAGTTACAACAATTGCCAAACAACAATGCTCATGCAGAAAAAGCAAACAAGTAACGAATATCAAATACTCTTTCTAGGAAGTTAAAGCAAAAGTATTTGAAAGATTTAACCATGAATAAAATATAAATAAATTAAAAAAATTAAAAAAAAAAATAAAAATGATAATTGAATATGTTATAAATATAAGAGATTCTTTAAAATGATAACAATTGTTGTAAAATGAATTAAATTGAGGAATATTTATTTAATAATATGCGACAATAATTCATCAATAAAATTCATAAACTTGTATAAATTATTTAAAAAAAAATCTAGAAGAAAACGTAGCAAAGTTTATCTCATATTCTATATACCCTTCTACTGTCTGCTGTCATTTATAACAATGCCCACATACAAAACAAATTGGCAGTCCAGGCAATAAATACGAGCCACACAGCCGCACAAAACAATGCTGCAGCGAGCTCTAAGTAGAACAACAACTGTAACAGCAGCAACAACAATAACAATGAGTGAAGAAGAAGAAGAAGAAGAGAGAAAAAATGTTGACCAATGCGCACAATTGGCAATTTGTGAAGTTAAGCGAAATTAATGAGCAGGCAGCAGTCAGACAGGCAGAGGGCCAACAGCTAAGCCGCAGTGAGCAGTGTTGGTAAACGAACAAAGCAGCAGCAGCATCCAAGTCTATCAACGTGGGCGAGTGAATGTCTAAATAAGAGCTAAACAAAAACCGCAGCTGAGACTGCCACTTCGACTGCGAGTTGGTCTTGTACTTGGACTTCAAGTTGTGGGGCAAATTCTTAAGATTATTCGACTGTTCATTAGTCAAGCAGGAGTAGAAAGCGCGAGGGGGAGCTGGGGGTATGGTCAGCGGTAGGTAGGAGCCATCAAGGTGCCGTTGGCATAAATCTTGGCGTCTTGGCATTTTATATATGTTCATTTCATTCCAATTCATTTGGCTTAGACCAAAACAATGGCCGCTTTTTGATGTAGCTCAATGATTTTTAGCGGTTTAACCTTGAGGCTTATGAATGGTCCATTGTTTTGTCAGGGGCTACACTCATACACACTCACACAATGTGGCGTTAATGCGCAAATATATGGAATTACTTTGGCATGGAGTGGAGTTCTTTGGTTTATGGTCAGCCGCATTGACCATTTGCCTGGCCTTAAGTCCAATTCGATTTGATTGAAACGAATGCCACGGCTCCCTCCACACACTCTCTCTCTCCCTCTCTCTGTCACTTCGCTCCTCCAAGCGACCATCTCTTGAACAGCTGTAGTAGCTCTTAAGCTGACACAAATCGCTTTGTGGCCATCGATGCGATTGCGACTGCATAAAAAATTCTCCATAAAACGAAGTTAACATGCGAAATAAACCGAGAACTGTGCAGCATCGAGAAAGATGTTTGATTTGTATATATCGAATAAGAGGACTTAAGCTGTTAAATAGTATTTATTGTCAGAGTAAGCAAGGAATAAATAATATTGAATTATATTGATCTAAGACAAGGAATGATGCATAAAATAAAAGAATAAATGAGAGAGAGTAGTAAGATAGAGAGGGAGAGGAAAAGAGAGGAGCAAAAAGAGAGGAGTGAAAAGAGGAAAAGGCAGCAAATAGAAAAGAGATAAGACAGAGCAGAGAAGGTAGAAAAGAGTATAGAAAGAGAGGGAAATAGGAAGCGAATGGTGAGAGTGAGAGAGAGCGAGGGATCCACATAGCTAATAAATGACAAACAGAGAAATACGGAGGGAGAAGCTGAGCAAGGGATGGATAGATAGCTATTGATTAAGAGAAGAGGAGATAAAAGAGAGAGAAAGAGAGTGTGTGTTCAACAGGAAACATAGAAAGAGAGAGACACATTCGCATATAAAGGAATTATTTTGTTAATCTTGAACGAGAATATTAGATATTCAATATTCTCTCCATTCAAGGCTGATTAAATTGAGCGGCTCGTTAGTCGCACATGGCCAGCAGCCTATAATGAAGGTGTGCCTAACTACATTTAAGCAGCAACAAGAGCTCGGACTGAGAGAGGGCAGTTCAGCTGTAATGCAGGCTGAGCTTTAACAAAGGGCTTGCCGGAGGCGGGTCACTCGCTAATGCGGTTGCTGTTGCCTTTGGCAGCTATTTAGATTAGCAAGAGAGAGAGAGAGAGTGCAGCAGGTGTGGGAGTGCTAAGGTAAACACACAGATACCTGCTCAGTTGGCCTCATCAGCCTTGACTTGAACTCCGACGCAATGCAAATGCATCCCTTGTGTGGTAGCTGGATCAGATGGCGGCTGCAGGACAATGACTAAAAGACCAAACCTGTACAGCGCGTTTGCATTAAAAATTCATTCGTGCAGCTGATAAAATTTAAACACCAACAATTCTTTAAAGTCAGTCAGACATCTGAGGTCGGCAATCAGGCACTTGGGAAATTTGCGCAGAAGCTGAAACAGCTCATAAATAAAATAAAATACCAGCAGCCAACTGTGGGTCTGTGTATGTGTGTGTGTGTGCGAGAGGAAGCCTGTGTGAACGTGTCGTATGCGCAATAATTAAGTTTCAAATGCCAAAGGCAAAAAATGTGACGTGCATGTGTAGGTGGTACAAAGGGTCCCGCTGGGCAATGGCAATAATAATATTAACAACAACAGCTACAACAAAAACAGCATTTACAACAGGTAAATATATTTATATACATATATGTGTGTTTATGTACATAACAAGGTTCGACAAGCAGATGTGCTAGGCGTTTATATAATGTATGGAAATTTATTTAAGACTGACAGTCTAGTCTTATTTGGTAATAACATTCAACTGGTTCATATATAAAGTGAACTTGTTCCTACTAAAAATAACATTGTGACTGAGTCCGTATGACAGATTTTATTTTCAATCAGCTCTTTAATAATATTTTACCTATGTCTAAAAATATTTACCTATGTTGCCATTCAAAAAGTTTTTAATAATTTTTTTGGTATACCCCTGAAAATATCCTTGACCAAGTTCTTAATAATACATGTTGCTGGAAAATATTTATTTTAGTCTTTTTTTTTAATTATTTTTTTTATAATAATATATATCGAAATAAAAAACTTGAATTTAAAAAAAATTGCAAAAGGCAAATAAATAAATGCTTCTTTTAAATTATAAGAAAAGACTTAAAATCAACATGTAGATAAGGATTACCTTGAGCTTTATTGTAGACTGTGCAGAGTAGCAAGCTAAGCTTTTTGTGCAAGCACAAACATAAAATTCTTAGAAAATATATATTAATTTACAAAAGAGAAATAAAAATGGAAACTCAGCTCATTCGAAAATAAAACTAAACTAGACCTGAGTCGCATTTGAACAACTATTTCAGACACAGCCAACTTAACAAAGTTTTTACTTACTAACTGCAGCCAACTTAATAATGCCACTCAACTAGCAAGCACAGCCAACTTAACAGCTATTTATGCTGTAAATTTCAAATAAATAAAATTGAACAAAACTTTTAGTCGTGAACAGTAATTGGCATGCCTTTTACAAATGTAAAGAATTTATAAACGAATTATAAATGGAACTTCAACTGCCTTCTCCCGTTGGAGTCATATCACTAGTATTTGTTTACTCACATTACTCCATATTCCATATACCTTCATATTGAACTGTCAACATGAGCGGAGCTGAGCATAAACAATATATATTTTATGAGTGTGGGCAAATCAAATGCCACAAAAGCGTTTTCCAAAAAGGCAGCTGCAGCTGAAGCCACCCACCAGGAGCCCACCCCACAGGGCACTATATGAGCCGCAGTGGCTCTCTAACAAGCAACAATAAATAATACAAATTTATGCGTTACCTCAAAAGAAAAACTTTTTGCTAACAATCAACTTTTGCGCTGCAAACTTTTATATATGTCTTTGACGCTATCTCTTTCTGACGCCTTCTTGCTCTTACTCTTTCTCATACAGAACATAGTTTAGTGGCAACATCAACTTCATTGCCATTATAAAGTTGAACAAATAAAATTTATATGCATTGCAAAACGCATCTAGCAAACAGGTAACGAGGTCTGAACTTCAGGGTGCGGGGCTTGGCTAAAAGTTATAAAAGAGGTTAGGGTTGTGGCCTAGGAGCTGGGGGTTGGAAGTCAAGTGGAGGTTAAATTTGATGCAGCACATTCAGAGTGAGTAAACAATAATAATAACGAGAGCAATTTGTGGCAAATGCTTGCAGTCAATGCATTCAACTCATACATATAGACTGAATGCACAAGTTTGCAAAAGAATTTATCTAACCTGAATCGGGAATTTATAAATATATTTATAACGAAGCTCGAAGGATTATTTTTAATATTCGAACAATGTGAGAACATAAACAGGACACAGCAAATAAACTTCTTATAGAAATTTTAAGTAAACTGGCAAGAATTTAGTTGAATTATGAAAATGCTTAGAAAATATATTTTATTAAATAATTTATAAAGAATTTTTATTTTATTTTATTTTTTATTGCAGACATACAAATTTCACTTCAGCGCTCTCAAGCAAAGCAAAAATAGTTTTTAATGTTCTTCCATCTTTCTGGTTGTAACTTTCTGATCCAGCTCTAGTTCCAGTTTCAGTT